GATGGATGGATGGATGGATGGATGGATGGATGGATGGATGTGTGGATGAATGGATGGAGGAGTGGGTGGTTGGGTGGGTGGGTGAAGAGGCAGGTGGGAGAATGAGTGGGTGGGTTAATAGGTAGATGGATGAACACCCTCAAGAGGACAGACTCTCTACTCTTGTTACTGGTGTCCAGAAAGCACAGATGAATCGCACTAGTCAGTAACCATGCAAGCTTTCCCCTGAGACATCTGTGTTTACACTTCTGTGGCTCCCCAGTGCCTCAAGGAGAAAAACTAGTTACTACAAAGACCATCAGGGAGCAGACACATACAAATAGGCTGGTTTAGTGAGCTGCAAGGATCCTCCAATCCTCTGGGCATTACAGTGAAAATGCTGGCAATACCCAAGTGAATGGAGGATGAGAAAAGAATGGAAAAACCTCCCAGAACTTCCCCCTTAGATGCCATCAGTCCTCTTTCTCCTCCATATCATCACCACCACCCAAACCACCATGCTATCACCTCCTCCAGCACCTCCACCATTATCACCCCATCACCATATAGATTTGTTGAGGCTGAGAAATGTGCTCACTCAGGTAAAAAGTATGCACTTGTAGGGTCCCCTCTTGTGGGAGGGAACTACTTGCCTCTTGCACAGGACCTCAGCACACCCCAGTGGTGGCTGATCTTTTAAGCCCTGGGCTGCCAACACAGCCCTGTGTCCAGCCCCCACTTCCAGGCTATTTGCCCCTATGCCCCATTCCTGTATCTCACAGCAGGAGGAACAAGAAGGCAGGGAGAGCAGTGGTTTTCAGAGGGAAGAAGGGCTGAGATCCTGCCAAGAGATGCCCTGGGTAATCCAGAGCTGGCTCCAGCTGCCCCAAACCCCAATTCACATGCATTTCCTAGACCTCAGAAACTGGCTAATTTCTCTCCCTGTGGGAGTATGACAGCTAAGCCTCCAGGGCTTTTCTCTCACCTCCCCAGGTGGGCTGAGTTTGTGCTCTTTGGGTAAACAACATTTCCCTTGGTTGTCAGATGCAGACTTATTTGCCTGGTGGCGGACTGAGTGACGCCTTCCCACTCACCCTATCACAGGTATGGGACTCAGGATGGGAAGAAGCACCCTACAACAGTCAGGGATGGGGGACCCAGCATCTGGGTGTGGGCAATGATCTCACACTGGCTACTGGGAAAGTCACACTCACTGTTTCACTCAGGGGTCTCTCTGGAATACAGCTAGGCTAAAGTCACCATGCCCCAGAGCTGTGATTTCATCCAGTTATCCTATACCCTGCATCCAAGCTAAAATATAGTCATTGGATCTCCAGTGGCTCTGAGCAGACACTTTATACTTTAAAACCCTGCATGCTTTGAATTCCCCCAGCCCTAAGCCAGTGTGCCATGTTGGCTCTCCCTCCCTCTGGCTGTGAGAAAAGGCAGGTCACCCAATCCTGGGGACCATGGGCAATGCAGTCAGGGGGTTGGTGTCCAGCTCAGGAATTCTGCATTTGTCTTCCTGCAGGCGGCTCTACCCTGATGTAATCACTCGCCAAGCCAGACCATTCTGCAGCTGCTGGGAGCCCAGAGTCTGGGGCAGGGCACAGCTGTGCCAGCTGTCGGAGACAGATTACGCTATGCAGCTCAGCCGTGACTCACATTCCAGTACAGGGGAAATGCGCAAAAGTTATACACTGTTCTGGAGGTGCCAAAAATCATCTTGGTTTTGTCTTGCAAGATGTTCAGCTTGCAGAGCATGGGGCAGACGGAGGAAGGGGGTGGGGAGGAGGCGAGGGGAGCAGATCTGTCTCCAGTCAACTCTGCCTGTCACACACCCTCCATCGCTCTAATAACAACACTCAGCATTTAATCAGCCCCTTGGTGGAAGCAGACGATGTCACACTCATTAATTAGTTAATCCGAACAGCACCCCTGGGAGGAGGAGCCATGTTATTATCCCCACTGGGACCCAGAGGGAAACTGAGGCCAGAGTGGGAATTTGGCACTGCACTGAGGGAACACAGCCTGGCAGCTGGACCAGGACCAGCCTATGCTTGTCACTCGTTCTGCTGCCCTCACTCTTGTCCTCCTTCTCCCCAGCTCCAGTCTGCTCACAATGCTGATAGCTGGCCCCAAAGACACCTGGCTAAACCCCATCAGAACTGGGCCTGAAGGCACCCAGGAGGAAGGGCAGCATGGCGTTGGAGCAGAGAGGATGCAGCTTGTCAGCTGGACCAGGTCAGGCCCTCAGGGAGCATGTGCTCTGAACCAGAAACCTGTGATGTTTCTTCCAAAGAGTCTCAGAACTAGGGGTGGAGGTGATGATGGTGACTCTTACCATCATCAAAGTGTCTGCTGTCTGTTTCCTGTTCAAGCAACTCTGGGTTTTGAATGTCTGGTAGTTTTAGAACTAAAGGGAGGGACATTTCAACCAGGAGGCACAATGATGGTTCCACTGAATTGGAAATAGATTGCTACCCGGCCATTAGGGAATCTTACACACACACACACACACACACACACACACACACACACACACACACGGTATGGGTGGAACCCAGGGTTCCCCTGGAGTACCTCCTACATCATCGTGTCCAGTGGTAACTACAGATGGAGCCCCAGTGCCTCAGGTCTTCAAGGATGAAGGCTCGGGTCAGTCCACCAGGTGAAGAATCCTGACCAAATGAGATGCAGGAGGTGAGTGGAGCATGGAATAAAGAATTAGAGGAAAGAAGTCATAAACACCTTTTAGGAGTTTGTGAGCAGTTGCAAAAATAAAGACTGCAGCGTCTTCCTGTATTTCCTTGCTGGTTACTCGAGTTGATAAAGATGAAATAATGAACTCCTCCACCCTTTGCTTTTTAACTAGGAATCATCACAATTAAAAAAACCTTTCTCATATCTTTCCTTTCTCCCAATAATAGCAGCGCTTCTCAACGTCAATGAGCATACAAATCACCTGGGGATCTTGTTAACCTGCTGAGATTCTTGAGCCTGAGATTGTGCATTTCCAACAAGCTCCCCAATGGTGCCAAGGCCCCACTTTGAGTAGCACGAGTTCAAAGGATATGTTATTGATGGTTAAATTTACCCTTAATTCCGTTGTTCAATGTCCAGATTGAAGCACCTTAGAACTTGAGGAGAAATGAACATCACCTTGGAAGGTTTCGCTCTTGGATCTTGATCATGACATCAAATCTGGAGGTGGCTGAAGGTGGACTATTGGAACTTGTTTGGATGAATGCAAGTGTATCTGTGTGTGTATACACACGTGTGAATTTGTGTGCACGGGGCAGCTAACGGGTAGAATGTAGTAGACAATCTTTGGAGCAGCTGTTCAGGTCATGTTTTCACCTTCTCTAAGAACTTTCCTCAACAATGGAGGAGTGGGCTGACATGTTTGTATTACATGGCACCTCCTCCGCTGGCCACTGCTGGACCATGGCCATGGCTCAACCTGGACCAATGAGATTCTTTCTTCTGGGAATCTAGAACTCTGAACCCAGGAGTGTTAAGTTTGGCCATTTTGATTCTGATTAAGTGCAATGATCTAAAAAAGAAGGTCCCCAAACTGTCTTGCTGCAGTCAGTCCCTAAACCCTCCCCCCATCCCTGCCCTCCCTGAGGCTGCGAGGGTTCAACTCTTCTTTGAATCCCCTGAGGAATCCCACCCCGTATTTGTGTCCCCACTCCTGGATTTCTTGTTTTTACTTAAGCAGGAGTTTGACTTCAAAATAGCTACAGGTAACACCGAACTCCTTCCAGAAGTAGCACCTACCTGCTTCAACAGAGGGGAAGACCAGGCAGCCTGGCCTGGGTCTCACTTTAAACCCAAATGTTCAGATACTTTTCAGGCTGAGCCTCCACCCAGCTTCTCTTACACACAGCGCCTTGTACTCCGCTGTGGCGCTCACTTGCCCCAAACGGCTGCCCACTACTGTTTTCTTGGGTTGACAACAGGGCCCTGAGAACGTTTTAGAGGCACTTCCCCAGCTGAAACATGCTGTTCCCCTTTTCGCCTCTGACAAATTTCCACTCCAGCTGGGTCATCGCTAAGATGATTAAGTGTCCCTTCTCAGAGCTCCGTCAGCCCTCTCTTCTTAGCTCCCACACAAGCACCCTGGTTTGTGATTGTCTAGTGCCGCCTAGACGGAACTCCATGAGGGCAGGGCCTGGGTTCCACGTGTCCTGTTGTCCGCCTACTGCCCCAGCGAAGCACAGCCCGCATTGGGACAGCAGTGATCCCGGATCAAGAGCACTCACTCAGGAAAGGTGCGTTAAGTGACTTACAGCTTGAATGAATGGGCGTGTGTGAAACAGAACAGGAGGGGCGATTTTCTTCACTTACCAGGAATCCCAAATTGACCCAGTGCTGCTTCGGATGCCAGGCATGATGCTGGACACTGTGGGGTTATGGGTGGGTGGGGGGCAGGACACAGATGATGACAAAGTGCTCCGACCCCTCAAGGAGCGCGCAGTCACCCGGGGAAGACAGAAGCCAGCTCTCTTTCCGCCTCCCAGAATGAACCAGTCCTCTAGTGATCCTTCTTGCGTTTCTGCCTCTCCCACGCTAAACCTGGTCACGCGGGGCCTGAAGGAGAGGGACCGAGGAGCCTCCCTTCCCCACAGGCAGTGCGGTCCGTCCTGCCCCTCCCGGCTTCCCACGGAGCCCGGGCGGCGGCCGCAGGAGCTGAGCGCCCACCGCCCCCATGCGCGGGGCCAGTGCGGGCGAAAGGCTCCGCTAGCGGCGGCCTCGGCGCCGCTCTCCTCCTTGGCACTAGGGGGCGCTGCCACCACACGGCCGTCGCCATGGTCACCGCTGGCGGCGGAGTGGGGTTTACGTAAAGGACGCAGCGTCCCCCGGGGGGCGGAGGCGGCCTTCGCGCCGGCGCCGGCGCCCTGCGGAAGCGGCGTTAGTGAATTGGGGCCTTGGGGAACCCAGGATGGAGGTGGCGGTCGCGGTGGCGGCGGCGGGCCGAGCCCTGCGGCGGGCTAGAGGTAAGGGGGGCCGCGGGTGCGGGCGCGGTGCGAGCGGTGCGGCCCGCGGGGCAGTGTCCGGTGCGCGCGGTGGCCGGCCCGACGGGGCCGCGGGCGGAGGTGCGGCTGCCACGCGCGCCCGTAGCAGGTGTGAGCTCCGTGGAGCCCCTGGCACCAGCGTGGGAATGGTGACACCCGTGTCACGGGCGTGGGCAGCGTGGGTCTGGCACAGGCAGCGTGGTTTTTCTGGCACGGGTGTCAGAAGACTCACCGCCACCTTGGTGCGGTGGTGGCAGACCAGGTGTGAGGTGGGTGCAACCCACTGTGCAGGTAGGTGGTGGGCACAGCACTTGAACTGGTCCCGGGGTGGCGGTGCCAGCAGCTCATGGGCACATGGTGGTGCCCCTGGCATGGGTGTGAGGAAGTGATGCCATTGCTAGGGTGTCGGATGGCTCTGGCCTGGACATGGTCTGGAGCGATGGCACCCAGGACTTGACGAATTGGTGTCCTCAGCATGGCAGGAGTTCCTGCCGTGGCTGTAAAAAATGGCCTTGGCACAGTTTGCTGCGGGGGGCTGCTTGGCCCTGCGAGGGGAGAATCCATGGCCCTCAGACCCTGGTGGAAGGGGGGGTTTATGCCATCCTCCCTCTCTGCTGATGCCGAGGGGCACTGCTGGTTGCCGGCCCCACCTTTATGCCTGCTGGGTCCACTGGACTGAGGAAAGGAGGTTGGGAGAAGGTTGGTGTCCTTTATAATGGACATGAAAGAGAGACACCAGCAGGTGCGGCTACCGTGAGGACCCTGATGGTGACTCAGACAGAGACCGGTCCAGGTACTGGCATTGACCTGGGCTCATGAATTCATCCAGCTTTAGGGAAGAAGGGAGGTGGGTGTTTCTCAGTGGTGATCGCTCTCTCTGAACATGTGTCATGAGAAACATGCGAGGCTGAGGGGGTCACCTGTGTCGCGGGCTGGGGGAGGTGTGGTGCATATCTATCTGTAGTCGCTGGCCCAGCCTTCTCCTTGGTTGATGGTTCACCAGGAGAGTCTGGGAGTTGCCTCTCTTCTTTGCTGCTTGGAAGCCTTTGGGTCGAGAGGATCGTTTGGGCGATGCTTGGAAGACGAGCCTGCAGCCACTGGGCATGTGCTAGGACTGCATCTGTCCCCACCAGGCCTTTGGGAAGCTTGAGGTGAAGGTCTCACTCAGCATCACGTGAACTTCGTAGAGGGTCAATTTTTAGACCCCCCCGGAGAAGTCTTCAGATGTGGGGGAAATTTTTGTGGATTTCTTGGGGAAGTAGAATTGGGGTAGAAGAATAAATGGGGTGAGCTTGGGCTGGGTCTGGGGGAGGCCTTTAGGAATTCAGAAAGACAATGTTGATGGTATGGGGTGCTAGGGTGGCAGCTGGCAGCTCATTCCAAGGTGGGTGCTTGGAGATGCTGCTGAGGTGCCTCAAAGCTGGAGTGTCATCCAGTGCATTTGGTGCTAGAAAACTTGAATTCTCATCTTGGCTGTGTGACCTTGAGCAGGTGACTTTACCTTTCAGAATCATGTGAAAAGGTGGTCATAGAGGGTCAAAGGAGATGGTGCACATGGAAACCCTTTGTAAACAGGGAAAGGCTGTACAAAGGTCAGGGATTCTCATCAGGTCAAGAGCCCAGGGTAGGAGGTGATGATAGGAAATGGAGGCGTGGAATGTGATCGGGAAGGAACACAGCCGGAAGGCGGAGGGCCTGTCATAGGGAATTAGAAGCCCTGAATGTAAAGGCTCCTGGTTGGGAAAAGTGGGATCTGTTGACAGTGTGAGTCAGCTGCTGAGCTGGAACCAGGCCCCAAGTCTCCCGAGGACGGTCCCGAGTGTGGCCACAGTGGCCATGGAGTCCTGCAGTAGTGGCCTGAGCATGAGGAGGCCCATCGGTCAGCTGCAGACATGCCTCTTGAGGTCTATGCAGGGCTGGGAGGTGTCTGTGACTGACACATCTGGGGTACCTGTGTGGGAGGGAGACTTGGAAGTGTGTGTGTGTTTTCTCTTGAGAATTTCCTTTGGCTCTGGGTTCTGAGGATGGGGGTGGGGAGCAGTCACATCAGCGTTTTTTGAGGCTGTGGCCTGAGGAAAGCAAAGTGGGTCAGAGCCACCAGTGTGGACTTGGAGCCATGTGGTCCTGTGAGGGAGGCTGAGGCTGGATGGCAGGAGGACTGGGCGACCAAGGGGATGCCCTCAGACACGTGGGCGAGGAGAAGGGGCGACAGGCACCCTCAGAGGGGTCCTTCGAGGGCAGACAGGTGTGGCATGAATTCCCCAGGACATCTCTCCCAACATGGGCCCACTGCCATCTGCAGGTCCTCCCCAGGTGGGGAAGATGAGGGTGACTGCAAATGGCTGTGCTTTCTGCCACCAGGGGCCTCGTTCCTGACAACCGGCTGCAGAGTCTAAATTACAGACCCGCACAGCTAGGAGGCTTTGCCCTGGAAGGCCCGTTTCTGTCAAACCCATTCTCGAGCATTCCATGTGAGTGTCTGCCTTAGCCAGTGACCCATTTTAAAAGCTTGCTCCCAAAGCAAAAAGTTCTTGACCTGTGTCCAGGCTGCAGTGTCAAGCCCCATGGGTCATGGCTCTGCCAGGCGCAGGTTGGTAAAGTGACCTTTCCATGCTATAGAACTTGCCCTGCCCAGTGGCTGCCGCCTGGACACTGCCTGGCATTACAAGCGCTTCCTTGGCCATTGGTTTCCCAGGTCAGTTGGAGGGGCGACCGAGGCCTGTCCCACCTATTCCCTGCAGCATTTTTTCTGCCAGCCCAGGAGTTGCCAGCACTTCAATTCCTGCTTGGAAAGCCCTCCTAAGTGCAATTCCTTTAAGAGGAAGCTTCAGACCTCCTCGTTGTGAATATTTAGCATTCATGACCCTGCAGCTCACCTTCCACACCTCCTCCTGTTCGTTCTGATGTGTGGCTCAGCCTTACGGTTTTGGGCTCCAGGAGCCCTTTGCATCCTACCCCTTGCCATCTGCTTGGGATGCTGACACTCTGCACAGGAGAGCTGGGTGGAGGCTGGGGCAGATCAGAGAGGAGGAGTTGGCCAAAAGCAGAGCTGAGCTTTCTTCTGAGTCTGAGTCCTCGGGGTGGGAGGCAGTTAGGGAGGCCAGTTGGGTCACCTCCCCCTTGTCATTGCACACAGATGCTGATTTTGAGGAGATTTCAGCTGCAGCAGGGGGCTCCTAACATCGGGGTAGACATTGAGGGCAAGTGGCTCTGAGCTGAGATTTTTTCCAACTCTGGTCCTCAATCTTATTCCTATTTCTTTGTCCATGTTTCTCCAGAAGTTGCTTAACTCAGCTCCTGGCAACCTTTCCTTCCTCAACCCATAAATCATGGTGCCCAGCTGCTCTGCTTCAGGGGTGCCAGGGAATTGGGCATCTCTGGACAGAGGCTTCTGGACCAGAGCTGAGAGCACCAGGTGAGCCGGCCACAGCTGAAGGCACAGCCTGGGGGTAGAAGTGGCTCCTCCGCCCAGCCCTTCTTTCTGGGACCAAAGGGCGGAACTCAGGGTTTAATCGCCTTTTGGCCCAGCGCTCCACCTGAGTTCAATTTCTTACTGGAATAGCTTTACATTACACTCTGGTGGACAAGGCAAGTAGCGCTGGGGGAAATATCAATGAGCGTGTGGTCAGAGGAAGATAAATCTTTTAGAACCGCCAGCCCAGGACATGGCAGGATGTGGTTACCTTCCCAGTGGGCAAGGCTGAAAACTGTTTATCTTGATTTTCTGTTTTCCTTTGAGATACCAACTTTCGCTGGGCTGGAATGGGCGGGGGAGTGTGTGTGTCTCTAGGCCAGGAATTCCCAGGAAAACCGCCTGACCTAGGGGGACCTCTCGGCCGCTGAGGAAGGGGCTCTAAGAAACTGGCGACGTGGAGGGGAGTGCTGTGGCCACGGGTGAGGGTGTTTGGCAGGAGTGCCAAAGTCCTCCACAAGCTCATGGCTGACACGAGCTGGTGTGGGGCTGTCACTGCCACGGGGCTGCCCAGGGATTACACGTGTGTGAAGCCGCGTGTGCCCATAAGCGTTTCTGTGGGAAGTGAGGGCTGAGGGGGTGTGGAGCGCCTGGCGGAGTGGGAACTTGTGGGCTTCTGTGTCTGGCTGGCCTGGTGTCAGTGGGTGTGTGGAGTGGGGCGTTCCTGGGTTCTGAGAAGCAAGAGAGAACAGTGGGAGCAGAGGGGGAGGCCGCCTTCCAGCTCTGAAGGGTGGGAAGGCCGATTTAACATCTCCTGTGGTGATTCTTACAAGACGAGCCTTTCTGCTTTCTCAGTATTCCTTAGAAGGAAGCCCAGGCCGGCGGTGTGGCTCTCAAAACACCCGTGTGTGTGCACCCATGCCTGGTTCCATGCACCTCCTCAAGCCCACCTGGAATTCAGCTGGGGACAGGCCCCCTGGGTGACAGAAGATAGCATTATAGTCCATGGGCATTCCAACTTGGGACTCTGGAGTCAAACAGACCCAGATCTGAATCCTGGTAACTTTCGACACCTCAGTTGCCTCATCTGTAAGATGGGGACAGTAAAACTTCCCACCAGATGGTTTTAAGAAGTCCACCACCTAATAATGCCTGGCAAGTGGAGAGACCATGGTGAAAGCAAGCACACTCAGCAAGTGTTGCTCTTGCAGTCAAAACCTTTTCCCTAGAAAGGCGGTTACATTATGTTCTGCGTACATTAGCAGGGAAGATGTGATAGGTCGTGTCTCTTTTCTTGGTAAGGAGAAGTTAGCTCCACCCCACCCTTGG